ATGACTATGTCCAGAGCTAGCCCCAAAATACAGAAAATGGAGTCACTTCTCTCTAGGGCCCAAATTGGATATGGTGGTGTGGTGGGTAAACTATATTGCTTCAGTAACTGGCAGCAGAGTAAGTTTTCTTTTTCTTCCAGAGGGAAGTTATGGCAGGTAAGAAAGTCATAATTTTCTGCATCCCTCCCTTTCTCCTTCTCTTTCCCCTTTCTTCTCTTCCTGCAAGACTGGCATTTTTTGTCTCCTTTATGATGTTATTGACATTCAGGATGACCTGATTTCATCTGTCCAAAAATATTGGCCAGGATCAGGAAGGAGGATAAGGCACAAAGTGTTACTTGTCCTGAGGCCTTTATATGTTCCCTTTCTTCTTCCCCTTGGCCTTCTCTGATAATGCCTTTTTAGAAGATAATGTCTGCACTATGGAAGAAAGCTATTGCAGTTTTAATGTGCTTGTGCTGAGGAAAGAACAAAGTAACCTTACTAAAAGAGGGGAAAATTTTATGTCCAAAAAATATTCAAAGCAAATGGGTTTGTGAAGAGATTTATTGTAATTAAAGAGCAAATAATTCAGAGTTAAAGCTGGAAACAACTATGTAAGTTAATGATGCCTCTGAGCAGTTTCTTGGCAGATAACAAATTGTCTGGGTGATTTTGGGCAACATAGGAAAGTTAATCTTTATTTAAGGATGCACCATTCCTAACAATGTTCTTAATCAGTTTTGCTCAAACTTTCCAGCAGCATCAAGTATTGGTTTGCAAATCTATTTTTTCTTCTTGAGTGCATATGGATGAAACAACCTAAAAAACTCCATTTTTGCAGGGGCATTTTTTTTTATATGAAAAAATAACAGCTGTGTCAGGGCCAGTCAGCCCATGGCAAAATTGTGAAGCAGGAAAGTTTGTCTTGAGAGAGTGACCTCCCACTGGCTATACAGGAGCTCCATTCAGCAAGACCTTTCCCAATCTGAGAGAACAAAATCTCACAAGTTTAGTCACATTAAAGTGTGAATCACTTAATGTGTTAATTCTCCGTGGGGAATTTGCATTTTAATAGAAAATCTACTAAAAAGAATAGTGCTTAACCCAAAAGATTGAATTTGTGATCATTTGATCAGAGCCACTATAGGGTAAATTGTGTGTGTGTGTGTGTGTGTGTGTGTGTGTGTGTGTTTGGGTGTTTGGGTGTTTGTCTGTTTGGTGGAGGGGTGGTGGTGTGATGGAGAGGTATTTTTGAGTGAGAAGATCTTGCAGTTACCTTATAACATATAATTATAAGACTATCCCTGAGCGTTGTTACTGTAGAAGTAGTTCAGTCTCCACTGGTTATTGAAGATAAACACAATACTGAATGATTGTGATTAATTTACAGAATGCCTACCCTATTCAAGACCCACTTCAGAAAAATGTCAGATAAAAACAATGCTACAGGCTTTAAAGAACGATACTACTAACAGTTTACTTTTATTGAGGACTTACTGTACCAGGTATTGTTCTAATAAATTTAAATCTACTAACTCATTTAATCTTCACAGTAGTGATAGGAAGTAGGAGCTATTATTTTCAAACATACAAATTGAGTCCCTGAGAGGCTAAGTAACTTAACCAAAGTCATATAGTTAGTAACTTAACCAAAGTCATATAGCTAGTAAATGTTGTGTTTATACTCTTAGAAGCATACAGTCCCTTAGAAATCACTTAAGTAGAAGGGAATTGATGTGTTCCAGATAGAGCATGTGACTTATCTAGGAGCCCTATATACATTGTCATAAAAGCTAGAAGTAGAACTGAGGTCTCCTGATTTTCAATACGTCCCACATTCTGTGTTGCTTTGTGAATCTGATGTGTTTTTCTTGTTTCTATGTTTCTCTTGTTTCATAATGCAAAATTGGAGTTTGTAAAGGTAGAAAATATAAGATCAAATGGTATAACTGCTGCAAGTACAAGAGTAACTGTAATTACAGGAATAACTAACCAAAAAGTAGTTGGAAGTACAATGAGAAAGGTATAATTTGCACAGAATGGTTTTGAAGAGTTTATATGAGAATGGAGGATCTGGAAGGCTTTCATGAAGTATGCCATGTTTGAGCTGAACGTAACCAGGTCTCTTTTCACTTTACGAATCCTAAGGGTAAAAATAGTGTGTAGTATACCATAGAGCTATTAGAGAAGCAGAAAGTGGAGAAACCAATTCTGAAGCTATAGAGGAGGCAGCACAGGCATGAGCTGGTACCCAGGAAAAGAAGTGGAGTTAGCAATAAAGATTTTGGGTACCTCTGCATAGGAGTAGATGAGATTCCCAAGGTGAGATTAGGGGCTGAACTTCAATGGGGGGGCAATGCCAGAGCAAGAATAAAAGCAAATATAACTAAGCCTTAGAAAACATGATAATATGTTTTTTAAATAATAAACCTAATAGATTTTTAATGCTTTACACTTTGAAAATCTTTCATATGGGTGATCCACATACATCCAGAACTTTCTTCTGGTACAGTAGTGCCCAAAGTTTTACAGGTACAGCTAATAAAGGATGCTGAGACTCCGAATCATTAATTGACTCATTTTGCTAATCAACACTACCAACTAGCTGCTTTTTATATGCGATAGCCACTTTAAAAACTTGTCCTTAAATCAGACTCTTGGAAGAGGCTACAGTTTAGCACAGGAACACTTCAGTATGGCTCTTCAGTGGAGGGCTATTGCTGCTCCCTGGGGCTAATTTTATGCAATTCAATCACCTGAAAATGTTTTCTCCATTCCCCCCTCCCCAGGTTTTATTTTGTTTTGTATTTTCAAAAATGACATCAACTTAAGCAAACATACATTTTTGCACATATTCATAGAAGGCAGGCCTGTTTGTATAGATCACTCTAATAAATCAGAAGGTATTTGAACTTTCTCACTGAGTTGTTGACAAATGGATCAATTGTCTAACTTTTGAATAGGAGGATGAAGGGCCAAGGAGTCAAACTGTCCAATTTCTTTGAGCAATAGCCTCTTTATTTGGGGTAAGAAATGACCAGAATCATCTCCCCAATGAGTCAGAAAATGGCTGTGGTGTGCAAATATGGTTTTGGCATTGCATAATAGTTTTTGAGCTGCTGAGGATTTTGATCTATAAGGAGCCATGGACCATACTGCCTAATGTGGTGACCAAAATTGCTGCTGAATAATATCTAGTATTTGTGAGTACTTATATTATTTTATTTAATCCTTGCAATATAGGTTATTTGCATTTTATAGATTAAAAAGCAAATCCCATTGTAATTAAATAATGTGTTCCCAAATACAGAGCTATATGGTAACAAAGCCAGAATTTTCAACTCAGGTTTGTTTGACTCCAAATCCAGCATTATTATCTATCACATTGTAAGTGTTCTTATGTAGTACAAGAGTAAGGCCAAGGTCACCTTGATGTATTAAAGATAAGTCAGCTGTCCTTCTATGGCCTTCTGGTATTCATTGGTGGTTGGATGAGTCATGGGGGACAAAAGAAAGGTGGCAAAGAGTTTCAAACCAAGAACAAAAGTGATATACCGTCAATGAGATGACTGTAATCTGCATTTATTACATATCAATCTATTTACTAAGCTCTTGCCTCTGTCCAGAACAGCAATGACTACTAGGAAAACTTTAACATTCTTCCAGTGGGTGACTGTGGTGATGAGTCAGTATTGTTGATGGATTTCTAAAACCTTCTGTGATAGACTTATATAACTTTTTTCTATGCAGCCAGTATCTATCAATCAGTGAGTCCATGATGAATCATGAAATAAATTTGTTGACAAATAAAACCTTGTGTTCTGTGCCAATCAATCCAACTGTGCCACCACTGTTCCAATAGCGAGCCATGAAATATTACTCTGAAACATGGAATTTATGGTTGGAAACAGCCAGTATTAATCTAGTTATCCTGCTGCCTTTCAGCAGGTGCATCTTAAAATTCTGAAAGCATATCTAACTCTATTGATTACAAATGTATATTCATCTTAGCCTTAAACTCATTTATATTGCCTACTCTGAATATATTAACTACTCTGCTGTTCCCAATTTCAATGCCTTTCTTGGAGATGGAACATTTTCTAAACCTAAATATAATCTACACTTTTACTTGCATGACACCCAGACCTGCCCTTTCCATAGTGATTTAGAAAAGAATAGACACAGGTTTAGGCACTAGATATTTGTGTTTTGTTTTTTGTTTTTTTTTTTGAGACAGAGTCTCACTTTGTTGCCCAGGCTAGAGTGAGTGCCGTTGCATCAGCCTCACTCACAGCAACTTCAATCTCCTGGGCTCAAGGGATCATACTGCCTCAGCCTCCCAAGTAGCTGGGACTACAGGCATGCACCACCATGCCTGACTAATTTTTTGTATATATATTTTTAGTTGGTCAATTAATTTCTTTCTACTTTTAGTAGAGAAGGGGTCTTGCTTAGGCTGGTTTCGAACTCCTGACCTCGAACAATCTGCCCGCCTCAGCCTCCCAGAGTGCTAGGATTACAGGTGTGACCCACCACGCCCGGCCTAGATATTTGTGTTAATTTAATATTTGTAAAGGGAAGGATTTTAGCTCAATGAAAGAAAGTAGCAAATGCTCCCCCACAAAGCTATACATGAAAAATCTATTTAAATACAGGGCTTTATTGACAAAAATTACATTTAAGAAGAACTAATCACTTTCATATTTTTAATGCAATCAAATGAATGTTTTTCTAGAAATAGCTACTTGCTTATAAAAGTATAAATGTTTTCCCTGTATATGACAAGACTCACTGTGGGTTTTGCCTCCTTTATAAACTATTAGTTTAATTAACAGTCTTATTTATGTGATGAGGAAGTGGATGAGGAGTTTATGCTGTATCACCAAGAATGTTCGGGTGCAATTTCAAGTGATAGGATGGTATCACATATAGCATTCATGGATTTAACTTTAATAAATGGGTCTACAAAGAATGCACAGAACCAAAATAATGCTAATTATAGTTTCATCTCTTTTTAGAGGCTGCAGAAGGCACACAGCATTTTACAGTGACTCTGGAGCATCATTTTGCACTTCAGTGACTATTGTGGCAGGTAATTGAGATCTCCTTCATAAATCATTTTTGCTTCTGCTATGTGGTTAATTTCACTGATTTTTTGCTGACACCATGTTTACCAAACCAATTCAATATCAGGATAATGTGAAATACTTAATGGATCAGTTGTATTGAGACTAAAAAAAGACAAAGACAATAATTTCCATGTTATCTGCCTCTCTTAGAGTTGTAGTAGATTGGTCACAGGGAACCAGATTGGCTCCCTGGACTTATCCCATTGACAAGGGATATTATTTTCCATTACAAAATTTGCTTTGAGTGTTTTACATCTGGAGATTATACTGAGGGTTGCAACATAAGGGCACCGTTGATACAATACAGGGAAGCCATGAATTCAACAAGTATTAGTGAAGTGATTTGGTGAATTGAAATATCGGATCTGGCACACGAAGAGACATAATGAGTTATTTCTATGTGATTTTGTTCATGTAACTTCCAAATTCAGCCTGGATTGTCCACCTGTGCTTCCTTCCTGTATTTTCAATTTCTAGCAATATTTTTTCATGTGGATGGCCTGCCATTGCTTAAAATGAGGAACACTCTAAAAGGAGTCATTATTGTTCTCCCAAACTAGCAGCCATCAAAAATATACCTGTCCTCTTTACTGCACAACTTTCTTAGTTTTCTTGATTGAAAATCTTAGAGTCATGATTTAACATCAGGTTTTAGTATCCATTTTTATTCTTTTAACCCACTCTCCATAACTCAATATGCATCCTTTTCTATCCTAATTTGCCAGCTAAATCCCTATTCAATTCTTCTCAGTTCAAACTTTACCTCTTTTGAGAGTCTTTTCTGATCTTTTCAATGTCCATTCTCAGTTAAATGTCTCTTCTTTCTCTCCCATAGTACTGTGAATATATCTGGGTCATAGTATTTTTGTTCCCATGGTATTCCAGCAGTGGTTCTGGCATATAGCAGTTGCTCAGTAAATGCTTCTTAAATGATGAAATGTGTTAGCCTTTCTCTTTAACTACATTATAAGGCCAAACAAGCCTTATTCTCTTTAATATTTCCCACAGCACTGAGTACATAATAAATGCTTACTAAATATTTAACAGTATTTAAGGCTATAATTATAATGCTGCCCTTGTCTAGAATCAAGACTCCTGTATATGCAATGATACGTGTTAAAAATATAACTTAGTGGAAATACTAGCTTTAGTGGAAGAATAGATGTTTGACTGCCAATGTTTATTTTTATATTGTAAGGAGTATATAATGGGTAGGTTTTACTAGAAAATTGAAAACAATGTCAAAGGAATTTTGATTATTGTAAGAGAAAAGTCCCTGCATTCCATGGAGAAGAGCCTTAATGTTGAATGGCTAGATCTACAAAAATGGTTGTGTTGAAATTTATAACAGATAATGCATAAAATGCCTGAAAGTCAATTCATCCTGTGTACTTTCAGAACATCTGGCATTGTTTAAATCCACTGAATAACTATTAAAATACTATGTATGAAAATCTTCATGGTTCATTAATAGCATTATTGCTTTGGGGCAGCATATATATATATATATATATATATATATATACACACACACACACACATACACACATATATGTATATTCATCATTCAGTCAAAGCCAATGACCATCTAGGACATTTTCAATCTTAGAACAATTTTGACTGGTGTTCATTTTGACATCCAGTATAGGATGTTTCTATATGACATTTTGTTTCAATTGTTCATGAAGAAAGTGACTTTTCATCCTATGATTATTGAACTGACATTTGTGGTAGCCAGTCTTCTAAGCAATGGACCACGATAAAGGTAGAGTTAGGATTATTAAGATGAAATGGCAGCCCAGAGGTTCAGTATTGAATAAATATCATAAAATCAAGTAAATCCAATGATATATGCTATATTATTTCATGTGAAAAGGAAGTATTCGGAATAGGGGTTGAAAAGAAATTTTATTTAGTATATTTCTGGGGAAATTGGTGAACTTCATAAACAATGGATCAGCAATTGATGATGAAATTAACTATTTTCCTACCTGTTATACTGACAGGAAAATATTCCTTTTTGCCAATAGGCAAATGAAGGCAATGAGGAATTAGCTCCCTGTGGCTCCCAGTGGGATCAGAGTCCTACTGTTTATTTTTGTGACATGAAACTAATGCGTTATGTTTGTACATTCTCTGATGGGCAGAATACATCAGTAAGCTATAAATATATCTTGAACTTCAATGCATAAGAGCAAGGTAACAATATAACTCTAATCATAGCACCACTTTTAAGAGTAATTACATAGCTATATTGGGCACATTTTTCTAGTTTCTGATATGAACATTTCTCTGTCATCAGTTATATGAGTTTTGCTTTTAAGCATACACACATGGATGCATAAATGTTTGGGTAGGCATTCACATGTACATCCATATCATGTGTATTCAAAAGGAGGAAATGTCTTGAAACTAACTTATGAAGATCTTCTGCTCTGTACAGGGACTTCAGGATCTCATGATAAGGCTTAAGATGAATATAATCACAATCTATTTTGGACTGAAAATAGTAAATATATAGGCCTCTTTAATTAAGTATGAATAAATATTCAGGGCAATTGCTTCGATGAAAAAATGGTGTTACATTCATATTTTCCTCCAAATAATACTCCAATAAAGTATAGTTTGAAAATACATTCCAGGTAAATAAAACTTGACATCAATATACCTTGTCTAGGTCTCTGGAAGTAAAGGCAGTCTATAGCTTTAATTCTATTGCTGTTCTAAATTATTACAGCTTTAATATACAGAGTCATGACCATATCCCAGTCCCTATGCTAAGAACTTAATATGTGATCTCATTAGGTTCCACCCACATTCCTGGTAATAGCAATGGTTACCTTATTTAATAGAAGAGTAAACTGAGTCAAAGCCCATGATCTTAACTATTATGTTATATTGTTCCCTCCATTGGAAAATCTACTTGAATCATTTCCATTTGTATATTTTCATATGCTCAAATCTTAAACAACAGTTTTGAAAATAATTGAGAGAAATCTTTGGGACTTTATTTTTCTTCAGTATATTTTAGTCCTGTTTCTAAAGTCGTGATTTTAAAGCCTATATTCTCATGTACTGTCATAATAGGCTAGTGCCACTGCCACTGTAGATAAATGAGTTGACCTTGTTGATGTTCCTGCCTGTTGCAGGGAATTGAAAGCCCAGCTGAGAGCAATTACATTCAATATTACTACTTTGGCAAGAGCTGTCGAGAGTCACATTGCTGGTCACATGCTGGATATATGTATGCTGAATGACAGTCAAAGAAACAAGACATTTGGAATCATCTTTAAAGAAGGGAGAAAGTCATGAAGTTCTAAAAGCCTTTGTTTCCATGAAATATACAAACAGTTCAAACAAAGCATCTTTTATAAATGTATGTATATCTTTGTATACATATATTTATAAACACAATCATGTGCCACATAATGATGTTTTGGTCAAGAATAGACTACATATACTATGGTGGTCACATAGTTTACCACAGAGCTGAAACATTCCTATCACTTAATGACATAGCAGCCTTCGTCATGACATGGTGTGGCATATTACTCATGTATGTGTGGTGATGCTGGTATAAATAAATCTGCTGCATTTTAAGTCATGTAAAAGTATAGTGCATACAATTATGTACAGTACATAATACTTGATAAACAACTACTCTACTTGTTTATGTACTTACTATACTATGCTTTTTATTGTTAGAGTGCATGCCTTCTACTTATAAAAAAAGTTAACTGGAAAAATAAGTATAGAATTATTTTTTCTAGATCTGTGAAAAATTATGTTGGTATTTTAACAGGGATTGCATTGAATCTGTAGATAATTTGTGGTAGTATACACATGTTAACAATGTTGATTCTGCCAACCCAAGAGCATGGTATGGTTTTCCACCTGTTTACGTCCTCTGCCATTTCCTTCATTGGTGTTTCATAGTTTTCCCTGTAGAGGTCATTTACTTACTTAGTCAAATATATTCCTAGGTATTTTAGATTCTTTGTTGCTATAGTGAAGGGTAGTGAGTATTTGATTTGGTTCTCAGTTTGACTGTTGTTGGCGTATAGGAATGCTACTGATTTTTGTACATTGGTTTTGTAACCTGAGACTTTGCTAAATTTGTTTATCAATTCCAGTAGTCTCACAGAAAAATCTTTGGGGTTTTCTAGATATAGCATCATATCATCAGCAAAGAGCAATAGTTCGATCTCTTCTGCCACCCTTTGGATGCGCTTGATTTCCTTCTCTTGTCTGATTGCTCTGGCTAGCACTTCCAGCACTATGTTGAACAGAAGCAGTAATAGAGGGCAACTTTGGTTCCAGTTCTAAGTGGGAATGCTTTCAAGTTTCCTCGTTCTGTATGATGTTGGCTGTGGGTTTGTCATATATGGCTTGTATCATTTTTTAGGTAAATCCCATCTATGACTATTTCGTTCATCATTCTTATCATTAAAAGGTGTTGAATTTTGTCTAATTTTTTTCTGCATCTATTGGGAGGATCATATGGTCTTTGTTTTTGCTTCTATTTATGTAGTGAATTACATTTATAAATTTGTGTATGTTGAACCATCCCTGCATCTCTGGGATGAAGCTGACTTGGTTTTGAGGGATTGTTTTTTTGATAAGCACATGAATTCGGTTTGCTAGGATTTTGTTGAGAATTTTTACATCTATATTAATAAAGGATATTGGTCTGTAGTTTTCTTTTTTGATGTGTTCTTTCCTGGTTTGGGTATCAGGGTGATGTTGGCTTCATAAAATGTGTTGGGAGGATTATTTCCTTCTAGATGTTGTGGAACAATTTCTGCAGGATAGGCACCAGTTCTTTGTAGGTCTGGTAAAGATAAGGTTTTGATAACTTGTGTCTTCTTTATTATTTAGTTCAAAGAATCTTTTTATTTCTATCTTGATTTCCTCCTTAATGCAATAATTGTTCAGCAAAAGGTTGTTTAGTTTCTATGACTTT